TCTTGTCAGTCATATCAACATGGTAAAGGGTAGTAGTGTGAAAAGATATTATAAAATAACTTTTGTTTCATAGCTTTTTATATTTAATTTTACTTGCCTGATTATTTGCTTCTTCTCTGCTTTCTCCTCTCCCCTCACACATTGTTGTGACTTCGTGTTTGCTGGTAATTCCACCCATCTCTCTATTTTCAATTAGTTTTCCATTCTTTGCAATGGCGATTATTCACCTCTTTAATAGCACCTGTGTATAATCTCTGCGGGACTCAATTTGATCCTAGGAATTTGATTGATTGATGAGTTCAGCCTTCTTAAAAGTGAAGCACCTTTGACACAGCTTTGGCCTGGTCTCCCTGCCTCTCCTTCAACTTGTCTTTTGTGCTGGGGCCAGTGTGAAAGTGGTCATCTTAAAATGCAAATCTGGTCATGCCATTCACCGGAGTCCATATGTCACTAGTTCCCGGTCACATAAGGAATACACTTCCAAGTTTGTGGCCTGCCATTCAAGCTTCATCACCCTCTTTTCCATGTGTATCTCCTACTTTTTTCTCTCCCCTGCTCGTTTCTGGTCCAGCCGTAACACATTTCCTCTTTGTAATGCCTCATGCTGCTACTTCTTCCAGAAATGCCATTTATCAAGTCACTTAGAAAGTATCGATACAGTTAAGTGCCTGGCGCTGTGCTCAAGGTAGGGCATAGTGAGACCTATGGGCCTGGTTCCTCTTCTCATGGAACCCCCAACCAGTGAGGACAGTGAGAGGCTCAAACGATTACAACAGGGTGAGTAGACATGGCTGTGGGAGCCCAGCGGAGAAGCCCCTAACCTTGACTTTGATGTCTAGGGAATGCATTCCAGGGGAAATGATGACCCAAAGGATGAGGAAGGCATGAGCCTGACCTTCCCCTTGTCACCTGGTGGTTCCCCGCTCACCCTTCCAAGTCTGTCTCAGGCCTCACTGCCTCCCTCTGTAGCCAGTCCCCCGGTGCTCTGTGTGCCAGCTCAGTACTAGGTACGTGATGGTCCTCTCAGCCACACGTTGCACTTGCTTGTCTCTCTTACCTGTTCTAGACTACGAGCATCGGGAAGGCACCGAGCATGGTGCATAGTGGGGCCCAATGCAAGTTCAATGGGGTTCGATTCCCAGACCCCACTGCTCTCATGCGCAGCCCCTCTCAGAGCCCTGGCCCCACACCATCCACGGCTGAACCTCTTTCTTGGGACAAGCTTTCCTTGCGGCTCTGTTCCCAGACTCTGCTTCTGATTCTTCTATCACTGTGTCTCTAAACTCATCCAGGCATTTAAGTGGCCCCTTCTCTGGGCCTCTTTGCTTTTATCCCTCAAGGGGGTCCAGGAGCAATGCCCCATTCTATAAAACAGAATGACAGACAAATAGCACCTGCTAAGAGGTGTCTATTGAAGGCGGTGAGTGCCTTTAATAGCACATCTTTGCCCAATTTAGTGTCTGGGAAAGGATGTTTCTTTTCTTGTGAGGGAATAAAACTTTTATTTAAGAAAAATGAGAGCTCTATATCCAAATGTGCTTCCTTATTTACATTGGATTCCAGAAAGCCCAGATTTAGATTCAATGTTCAAATGTATCGACTATCTTTCTAGCACGTTTCCGGTAAAATTATTTCCTTCCTTCATCTGGGTGAGTTTTTCTGAATTAAAAAAAAAAAAAAAAGCAAAACAACCCAGTTAACTTGAAGTGTTCACTACATTTTATGGTCAGGAAAAAAGTGTAATTACATTAAAAGAAAAATTTAGGCTATGCCTATATTTTCATATAGGATTACACCATATATCATTTCCCCGAGAATGTTTTTTAATTGTGGTTTCAATGCAAGTTACCTCAAATTCTTATTGCAAGAAGTATGTTCTCTCTTATTTCAAGATTTAAAATGTTTTCCTTTCTTCCTTTCCTTAGTTTATTTTTCTTCCTCACAAACCAGGCTGAATTGGTTAAAACACATCATGGAGTATGCACTATCCTAGTGATCCTTCATTCAAACCACCAATGTATATTACAAATGAAAGGAAGGGACTGGAGGGACCAGGCAGGCAGGGAACGGGGGAGGGGCATACTTGCTGAGCACCGAGTTTCCAGCCAGCTGTCTACAGGCTACTGAAGTAATGTGATTTCCATTTTATGAATGAGGTAAGAAGCTCACTGCGTTTAAATGATCTCATTTCTTTGTTTAGAGAAGCCCAACAAACTCACCAGTCCCATTACTTCACCTCATTATCATTTCCTAAAATCTGTTCCTTCTCTTTTCCTGATTTTACATAACAGCCCTGTTATCTGCTTACTCAAGCATTCCAGAAACTCAGGAGTCATCTGCATCTCTCCCTCTCTCTCTCTCTCTCTCTCTCTCTCTCTCTCTCTCTCTCTCTCTCTCTCTCTCTCTCTCTCTCTCTCTCTCTCTCTCTCTCTCTCTCTCCAGCTAATTCTGCTCCCTTCATACCTTTACTCTCCTCCCTTCCCCCCCTGCTTATACCCAAGTCCGTGCTCAAGTGATTCTTGCTTGGGACTATTTCAATCATCTTCTTGCTAATATCGCTGCTTTCAATTTCCCCCACTCCCAATATTCCCCCCTCATTTTGTCTTTGTGATATTCCCAAATGGCAGAGCTGACATCACTCCTCTTACTGTCTGACTGCACTCTCTTTTGCCCTCCAGTGCAAGTCCCTGGCCAGCCATCTCAGAATGCTCATCATTTGTACCTTACTTCCTCTGTGGTCTTCTCTCCCTTGCTCTCGCATATGCATCCTACACACCAGCCACACTGAGTAACTCAGATTCTTGGACAGTCAGGTTTTCATGCTTCCATGCTGTGTGTATGCTTTGCTCTCCCTGGAATGTTTATCTCTTGTATGGTGAACCCCTTCTCTCTTTCAAGACCTAATTCCAGTTCCAACTCCTCTCTTGGTTTACCCCTATCCCATTTTCAAGTATTGAGCACAACCTCCTTTCTAGAACTCTACCTTGTACATATTTATATGGTATCATTTTCCATGCTGTGCTGTAATTATTTGGTTTTATATTTGACTAAGTTATTTGATTATAACTTCCCTGATTTTATAAAATTGTTCTTATTTTTACAAACTTTAAATTTACACATTGTATTCTTGTTGCATTCTTAGTATCTAGTGCTAAGCACATTTTTTTATTCTTGTATGGATATTTACTCCTTTAAAGTTATAAAGGTTTATGTTAATTGTAAAATATTTCATAACTTAAAACAAAATAGATTAAATCACATATGTCATTGGGACAACTGTTCTGTTCATTATAAGAGCAGGTAGGTAGGACATGCCTTAGTTGATGATTAGAAGATGGTTTCCAATGGAATTGCAGATGGGCTCAAGAAACATTCAGCCTTGCACTTTTTCTTTTGCAATGACCATTAGATTTTCCTACCCTTAAAAGTAGTTACTTTTGAGTGTAACAGGGACAATTAATGACCCTTCCCTCCATAGGTTCTGAATAATATATGACAGGAATTAAAATATCAGCAGATTCAAACTCAATGCTCAGTGTTATTTTGGGTAAAGCTGAACTGGAGAATGTGGCTTAGGCCCGGTGACAAAATCGGGCTTTCTCCTTCATGCTGTCTTGGATTTGGCCCACTTGTCCGGGCTTGGAAACTTGCACGGCGGAGCTGAACTGGAGGTGGAAGGCCCACTGTCTGGGAAAGAAAAGCCTTGGGCCGCCTAAGGAGGGACGAGGAGGAGGCCAGATAAGGACAGCACTCCTGCACCAGATCGCCACAACTGAAGGCATTTCAAATAATGACGTCACAGTCTCAGGTTCTCCTGATCCCGAAGAGTCCTCAAGAGGCCCTAAGGTCCTAAGGAGAGGTAGGAGGATGCTCTCTCCATAGTCCTGAAAAGGTTAGCTTCTGTTTCCAGCAGGAGGGCCGTTCTTCCTAGCAAGGGTTATAGGACAGACCAATCTCTTAAACCCAAGGTCCCAGGACCTCACATATCTTGGTCCAAAGAATTCTGCTTTTCATGGACAGAATCTGATAACGCCTAAGTAGCAAATGGTATGACTCTGTCTGCTTTCTTTCCCCCAACATTTATCATTTTATCCTGATGGTAGACAGATCAATAAATGCTCCTGACATGGAGGACACACGTGTTAATAATATCATCAAAGTGTAATCATAAAGGAAGCAGCCACTTGACGCTCAGAGGTGTGTGCTCTGATGGGAAGCATAATCACCTGTGAATTACTATGGATTATAAAGGATTTTTTTCCCTGCAATTTATGGAGAGCCTTGACCATGTAATCTCAGCCCAGGGCAATCTGTAATTGCACACTGGTGATGGTAAAGGGCAGTGACCTGAAGGCATCTAACTAACATTTCTGCTGTGAGTCCTGGGGGGCTTGCGCTGTCCCCTCTCCCCCTTCATTCCACATGCTGGGACCTTTCTGACATCTCTCCCAGTTCTTGGAGTTCATGATCCAGATGTGCCTCCAGTGGTGCTAACCCCAGAATAATCCGTCACTGGGCTCTGACCCATATTTTATTACAATAATTCATAGTTAGATTTATTTGGTTCTGGCTTCATTTGTTTCTGGTCTATGGGTCTGCATTCTTTTTCATGGCTAAATGTGCTCCCTTTAAGTGTGATGTATTTAATTTAGTCAGTTCTCTAAATTATATAATGGTGAATAAGAAAAACATAAAAAAGAACGTCATGGTCAGGAGGCAACAGTGTAAAGTGAATAGATTGTATTTTTACATAGTGGGCCTGATTTTCTCTGTGAGTTGAGATGGTCCTTTTAGAAGTAACATTCTTTACTGATGCTCAGAGCCTGTGGTGACCTGGCAGTGGTCAGGAGTCCCCGAGGCCAGTGCTTCTTAAAGTTAATATGTGCTCGAATCACTTGATTCCGTGGGTCTGGCGAGGGTCAAAGGTGCTGCAGTTCTAACAAGCTTGCAGGTGATGCTGACGACCGGATAGCAAGAAGTTACGGCACCAAAACACCAGCTCCCCAACTCGCCACAATTAATTTTATTCCACAGCATGTGTAAGGGGATGTTATTCTCAGGAAGATGTTTAGGATTAAAATAATTAAAACCAAAACAAAAACTGGAAAGTACACACATTTATGTATCTCTTCTTTTCATTAAATATATATCTGTTCGGCAAAAATGTTAGACTCTTTTGTACAAAAACAAAGCAAAACAAAACAAAACAAAACAACCCCAAACCCTTGCAAGTTGTCAATACCTATAATAATTACAACGATGTAAACTTGGATGTCTGACACCTTGACCATCTTGTGGAACCCGCGTTGCAGAGAAGCCCCCCTCTCCCAGGAGAGGGTAATAACACACCCTTAGACAGCGACCGCCTATGGTAGAGGCATTTAGGTTTTGAATATTCGAGATGGAGCATGATGACTGATCTCACCACTTGTGCTTTCAGCTAAGGGGCTGGGAGGAACGTGGAAATGAAGATGGGCCTGTGCTGAGGCAGGGGGACAAAACCCAAGACTAGCTGGTGCGGGAGGAAGGGGGGTCGTGGTCACAGTGCAGATGTGCGGTGGGCTGTGTCTGGGAAACCCAACGCTGGCGAGAACTAGGATCAGGCTGCTGCTGCTGCTCTTGGGACCAGAAAGGAACAGGGTAAGGTGAAGACCGTGAAGGAGGAAGGGGAGGCTGTGAAAGCAGATTTCAATTCACACGGAGCTGACTCTAGCGAGAAGGGGAGGTTGGAGGTGGCGTCTGGTCCTCTCAAGTAGCTAGGCTGTTTCTGCCAGACACAAGCCTGGGGACGCTTCTCTTGATCTGGTGGGTAGGTTGGGGAGCAGTCCGATGCTGCCGGCATTTGGTCCTCCAGGAAGGGAGGACGTGCCTGCTGGGGGTGAGGGTGGAAGGGCCATTTGGCCGTCTTATTGGTGTTGGGTTTTGCGCTTTTCCCACGAGTGGAGTGCAGCAGTGGGAAGTGACCTAAAGCAATGGCGTCTAGAAACAGAGGTGCTGAGCTCAGGGCGGTGAGCAAGAGGCCAGGTAAGGGCAGAAAAATGCCGGGGCTAGAGGCGGGGCCCAAGGAAGCGCTGACCCCAGCTTCTCTTTACCACGAGAGGATTCCAAGGCGTGGACGTGCTTTCGTTCTTCTCTCCTGTTAGCTGGGCTTTCCAGTTTGGGAGGGGTTGCTGCTGGGCCGGCCGCCTCAGTTACAGTCATAAACGAAGTCATAGTTGCTGGGCTCCTTGGGGATGGGCGGGGGGGCGTCTGGGATCTGAATGTTTTCGAGGTCCAGGAGGCGGAGCTTGATCTCCATGCTGAGCAGGGTGTCCAGATCGTTGCGCGTCAGGTCGCTCAGCATGTCCTTCCCCAGCAGCGCGTTCAGCCCGTCTGTCCAGATACAGTACTGGCGGGAAAGGACATGACAGTGACGGCTACTGGTGACAACCACGAGAGTAGTAACAATAGCTAACGCTTCCTGATTACTCAACATATGCTAGGCTCGGGGCTAATGCTTTGCCTACTTCGCCATTTATGATATTCACAACATCTCTATAATGCAGACACTTCTGTTTTACAATGAGGGAGCTGAGTGAGGCACAGAGCGGTTAAATAACTTGATCGTGTGTGTGGAGTGGGTGGGATTTGAACCGATGCAATCGGACTCCAGTGCCTGTGGTCTTTTATGCAGAGAATGCCTCCCTAAGTAAGAGTGGGACGTGAGTTCGCCATGACGGTGCGACGTATTTCTAGTAACATCCCACCAGTGACTCTAGGATTTTAAGGTATTGGTGGAATATATCCCAACAGTCTTGAACTCATCATCAGGTCAAGCGTGCCCCTTTCCTGACGGGTTCCTAGTCTAGTAGCTAATCTCTGCCTTTTCTTTCTGATTCTCGAACCCACAATGACAGCTCCATCTCACCCTGGATCCAGTAGTAGTCCATATTTGTGGCTCTCAGCAAAAGGGCTAAGAAACAGCTTTCTGCTGCCCAGTATCTGGTGGACAAATGGCTAAAGTTATGGGGTGAGCTTCCTGGGAAGTGGGTCGGCTGCCTGTCTGGGAGCCTCTTCTGCCTGGGTCTCCAGTTTCCAGGGTTAAGTTCCTCCAGATCTTTGCGTCATGGTCCCTGGGGGCGTCTATTTTGTAAAGCCCTCCACAGTACTCAACTACGACTTTGGTGTCTCCCTTCTCATAAAATTAATCATACCTTTTGCCTCTCCAGTAGATTATGAACTACTTGAGGAAACATCCCGAAATAGAGGCAGCCAGGCACCATGGAAGAACACAACACCAGTGCTGCTTCACGTGAAGCCTGAATTTGATTCGTCCTCCAACTACCACTCAATGGGAAATGCAGAAGACAGGGAAACGGCATGGGTTGTCGTGGGCAGAATAATGCTCTGCTTTCAAAGACCATCATGTCCTGATCCCTGGAACCCGTGGATCCGTTAGGTTCCATGGCAAAGGGAGTGAAGGCTGCAGGTCAGCTCACCTTAAAATAGGGAGATTTTCTGGGATTCTTTATGTGGACCCAATGTGATCACAAGGGGCCTTAAAAGTGGCAAAGGGAAACAGAAGAGAAGTGAGAGGCAGCGGGAGATCTGGCCATGGGGACGTGGGTGGGAATGATGCGATGTGAGAATTCAGCCCAGCGTTGCTCTACATGGATGGAGGCCATGAGTGAAGGAATGCGGGCAGCTGCCAGGAGTGGAAATGGAGAGAAAATGCTTTTCCCCTGCGCCTCCAGGAGGGAATTCTGCTGATACCCAGATATTAGCCAAGAAAGACCTACATCAGGCTTCTGACCTCCAAAATTGTAAGAAAGTAAACTTATGTTGTTTTAAGCCACTAAATTTGTGGTAATTTGTTACAGCAGCCACAGTAAACTAATACACAGAGTATAGTAAGCAAAATCTAGACTATTGGCAATATTACTAAATAGGTGACCTGGTTTTTTCAATGAATAAATTGAAAGGAAAAAAAAGCACATGCAAATGTTCACAAGAGACAGGGGGGAGTGGGGATGGGGGGATGGGAGAGAGAGATGGAGGAAGGGAGCAAGGGAGAGAGAGAGAGAGAGAGAGAGAGAGAGAGAGAGAGAGAGAGAGATCCTATAGATTCAAGGAAACTTAAGAAACTTGTTACCCAATTGCTATGTATGAATCTTATTTGCATTCTGATGTGAACAGAGCATAAAAGAAAAACAAGCAAATGAGACAACTAGAGAAATCTGGAAACTGACTGCCTATGGTTGTATTAAAATATTATAAGATTAGGTGGGATAATGGTATTGTAGTTGTGTTTCAAAATGGACTCTTTATTATTTAGAGATACACACACAGGAATATTTACAAAGAAAATCATATGACCTCTGGATGTGCTTCTAAAATAATCGGGGGTGCGGGGAGCAGCTGGGTGTGGGTGGGGGTATAGATGAACCCTGACTGGCCATGAGTCGCTAACTGTCGAAGCCGGGTGATGGGCACCGGCAGGACGTGGTGCGTGCAGGCCCTACTTTCTTCCATTCTTCCTGGCTACACAGGGCCGGAGCCAAAGAGAAGGCGTTTCTGAAGCAAGACGGCCGTGGCTCAAACCCCAGCTCTGTCACTTACTACTTGTTTGACCTTGGACAAGTTTCTTAACCTCTCTGTGCCTCATTTCCCTTCTTAATAAAATGGGGACAGAATTCGTTTGTTTCTTTTAAGAGTCATAAGAGAATTAAGTGAGATATGAAGCACATACAGCACTGAACAGTGACAATTACTATTATCTTTACTATTGTGGAGGTATTCCGTTTTGGGAAGTCTCTCTGTCCCTATTTAATAAATGTGGATATCTGTAATAAGACTTTCTATTTTCACAGAGTGATGATGCCAATAAAAGGAGCTAATAGATGTGAAAGTGGTCTGAAGGAATTAGAAGAGCTCGCATGCATAAAGCGTTTTTCTCCTCATGCTATCAGCAGTGTCAGATGTAAATACAGAGCTGGCAGTCCAGAACATTTATCATTATCTGGAATTAATTTTTTCTACCACGTTTCTTGAAGTTATTTCAAGAGGTTTAGGGCTGCCTCTGCTGTTGCATTTTATTTTTGAGCCCTCACAGGTTTAAATAATATCCACAGTTCTATTTTCGGTAGTTTTCTATAGAGCTGTACACATCTTTAATAGGGTGTCCTGTGTGCAGCCATAATTTTATTTAAAAAGAGAAACAGTAGGACACAGAATCTATTTTCAGGAAGATGAAGACAAAGTCATACTCTTCCACAAGCTAAATGTCAAGTAACAGAGA